TGGCTATCCGTGGAAAAACAATATCCCGTTTTATGCAAGAATGCCATCAGAGTGTTAATACAATTTGCATCAACGTATTTATGTGAAACTGGATTTAGCAAACTAGTTTCAATAAAAACTAAATACCGCTCGCGTTTAAACCCTGAAGATGGTATGCTAATTGCAATTAGTAACATACATCCAAACATCGATGAGATAATTAGAAACTTGCAGCCACATACATCTCATTAAAGGGCAATTACTGATTTTTGAGTTATACAAAAAGTATTTTCTTAAAATTAAAAAAAAAATTAATATGAGTTAAATATGATGATGTTTTTATTCGATGAAACGAAAGAAATGCGCGAAATATACATCGTATTTGTGAACATTTATCTCTAGGGGTCGCCGAAAGTTTTCTCTCTACAAAAGGGGTCGCAGTCGAAAAAAGTTTGCGCACCACTGCAATAGACAATTAAGCACATTTATCCCAGCTAACTAGTATTAGTCTTATTAGGAAATCAAAATTTTTATTAGATAAATACTTAGTTTAATCAAAATATTTTATGAAAAATAAAATATAATAATGATGTGATATATAACAAATTTAATAATGAATTTTTAGTTTAATAAAACTTGAATATTTTTCACATTTAATTTTAATAATTTACAGAATATAAATAATATATCCACATACATTTATACAAAAATAAATTAAATTTTTTTATCAATTTCAATCCAATGTTTCTTCCTCTTGATTTAGTAAGATAAAAAAAAGGAACATTATAACACTCCTCTTTTTAGGAGCTTCTCAATGAGAAGTTTGTCCTGAGCTTTCACACGCCCCTACACTAAACGGCACTGGGTCATCATCTATAACACTTAAATCAGAGATATCAAACCTATGGCATGAATAACATGTGACATATATTTCGATGGTATGCGAGAGATAGATATTAAATCAGCTTTATTTGCTAATATTCGTTGAAAACATTAAAAAAAATTCCATTGTTAGCAGCCATAATAGACAGATGCACAAAAAAGTAAGATCCTGATGCAATTATGAAATTCTCCAGTAAGGGTGAATATAGTACTTCTCTATGGATGTCCATATTGTAGGTAGGTAAGTACTTTATTTACATCGCACTAGAGTTGCACAATGGGTTATTGGCAATCGTCTGGGAAACATCCCTGAGGATGATCTGAAGACATGCCATCACAATTTTGAACTTTTGCAGAGAAGATGGCTCCCTTGCTTTGGTAGCCCGACAACCTGTGCACACAGTCAAACACTTTACCATAGAACAATTTAACGAGGACCCATACCGCGCACCCTTGGTCCCTAAGCAAGCTGATCAAAGTGGTCACCCACCCCCTTATAGAGCGCAGCCATTGATGCTTGATTTCGGTCTTCTACCAGGATCTTTACGTGCCCACTGTGGGACTTATTGTAAAAATCTAAAAATCCCAATTTCATTTTATTGCTTACCACAAAAAGTACTCACTTTGAGATACTTCACCTTGATAATTAAACTGAGGTATTTTTAAAATACTTTTTATTCAATTTCCATTTGAAGCAAGTTAAAAACTAAATTGTAAATATAGTTACACCAGGTAATTTTATAGTTTAAAATCAATGCAGAACAGCTTGAGGTTTATTTGTAAGGGGAAAATTAACAAGTGGCACATTTGACTCATGAAAAGAGTAATTTAACTGGCACACTAATCTTAAAAGGTTCCCCATCTCTGATTTAGATGGTAATCTAATGTAAGTTTTTTGTAAAAATATCCAGTTGTCAAGCAAAGACGTAATTTTAACAGATAAAGACAAGGAATTGGTGTTTCTATTTATTTAAATTTGAAAAAAAAATCCTGATCATTATCATTTTTTAAATATTAGTACAAAGCTTTTATATACTGAATAACAATAATAAAAAAATTAAATATATGAGGTTTCTTTTGGGATATTTCAATAGTAGGAGTGGCACTTAAATATATTAGTATGGTAGTAGGATGTTAGTACCTTGAAGGAACTCAATGAATCTTTCCAGATCAGATATTTGAGTTTTTAACTGACTCACAAGTTGTTCTTTCATCTTTGCTGGATTCACAAGCTTAAGTAAAATATTAATAAAAAGAAAGAGAAAATGCATAAGAGATGAGTGAGGCATAATATACATTTAATGCAGTTAAACAGTGTTTTATTATTAACATTAACAAGTTTATAAACAGAGTATTAAAAAAGAAAGTTAGTAATTTCAACAATGATTCAGAAAAAAAACATATTTAGTGAAACAATTTTTTTCCAGTTAACTCTTCAAGAGTTGCGCTGGAGTAAAATTGCACTTAAATTTGCCTGCTATGCACATCTTTACAATGAAATAACATGGAGAAAATAAATATCCTGATGCAGTTAAAAGATTGGAAATAGCCAGGATAAACATTCAGAGAGTTAAGGCACTTATACTAGGACTTTTTTTCTTGACAACGAAAGCTTCAAAAATACCCCTAAAAAAAGACAATCATTTCAACTATTTAAAATGCTATTTTTAAATCACCACCTTAGGATATAATCATTTAACAATTTACTAAATTAGTTCCCATAACAAATCAATACCTCTGGGGGTATTGAATTGGAGATTGATCGTTCTCTGGTTCAGGTCAAAATTATGATCTGTGGATGAATGAATGGATCTGTCCTATAAACGGGCTGTGACGTGTGTGTGAGGCTGAAGTCGAATTCTTGGCCATAGATGGCGCCATTGAAAAACAAAAAACGCACTCTCTGCCTTAAATTCGTTTGGTTTCACCAAGCAGACAACAACCAAATTAGAACCATAGGTTAATTGAACAAGCATTTTTTAGAAAATTGTTTTAAATGGAAGAAAGACAGTATTAGTATTAAGAATAAGATTAATCACATTAAAAGTAAATATTAAATTTTTTTAACAGAAATTGTTAGAAATAAGCAATTCTTCCCCTACCCATATAAGCATACTTTTATTAAATAAAACTTTTTATTCATGATCAAGAGGAGAAATTGAGATTCGTACAAAGTGCAATATGGATGAAGCTACTCAACATCTTCTGAGTTGTGTTGCCTTGGTGCGGATGACCTTTTAAGGCAACCTGACATAGTGCTGTGGGTAATGAGGACAAATAAACTCACGAATCTTATCTGATTCAGATTAGAAGGATAAGAAAGCAGAAGAATCTTTTTCTTGATTAAATTTCTTTCTATTCAATGATTTGTACAAAATAAAAAGATTTTTCTTTTAAAATTTAAAATAAACATAGTGTTTATAGATCATCTATTGAAAAAGTTAAATTATCACTTGAAATACTTGTCACAAGCAGTGCAACAAAAAACACAATATTTCAAAGGCGAACAAATAATATTTATTTAAACTATAAATAATGTAATACCTCTTTTATTGCACAGTCAACTTGGGAACGCAACTCATCAGGACTTAACTTGTCTAGTTCATCGAAATTTAATTGAAGTTTCCCTTTAAGTTGTTCAATGACGACCGACTGACGTTCAAAAAGCATGCTTTGGGGCATACTTGCTTGTCCAGTCTAGAATAATAGTTTCTGAACTCAATATGTTAAAAAACATAATCAATTTGTAACAAAAACCAATACAATTTAAACAAAATAATCAGTCTTTGAGACCTATATCCTCAGTATAAATACATTATTAAAAATCAAAAATTAATTGTTAAAAAAAAATTGAAATGGAGGATGTTATTTTATGTTCATTCATAAAAATCAAGAAGACTCTTTATAATCTCTTGAAATAATCAGGAAGGGGGTGTCATAGAAAAAAAAGTCAATTAAATAACATAAATTATCATTTCTAATATTCATTATTTCCTGAATGAAATTTTCAGTAATATATATTACAGACATAAATAACACATAAGTACAATTGTGTTTTGTAGACCATTGGTAAATCAAGCTCTACTATTATTAAAAATATTTATGAATACTCATAACACATAAATAAGACATACGAATTACAATTTCATAATTCTTTAAATTTTATATAAAATTTAAAATGTTATTTTTTAAAAAAATTGATAATTGATTTAATTTATAAAAATTTACATTAACTATTTAAATATTCAAAGCTATTACATAATCTTGTGGTTTCAAATGTTGCACATAATGCATCTTGTAAGGGTACAACTTCAGAATTTTTTTTGAAATAAGGCACAAATTTGTATATATTGTGCATAATGCTAGAGTTATTGAACGATTACTTGCACCTGAACATTTTAGCAAATTTAACTTTCACCACAATTGTTAACTGTGTTACACTTCTTCCTCTTCCTCATGCAACATCAAACTAACACATTAAGTAATGATTCAAACTAACAAAGTAAGTTTTTAACTGCATTTATAAACATGGGTTATTATCTCAAGTTCTTTACTTGCATGTAAGCACTAAATGGCGCTGAAGCATTTCAAGGGCTGTAAGTTTAAAGTATAAAAATTAAGAGCAAAATTTCCACCAAGCTTAAGGATGCTGATTCTCTAATGGGAACAATTTGTACAATACCAACATGGATTTGCAGATATACAATTGGTAATAATTTCAGTAATTCCTGTACTTAAATGAAAAATTTAAAAAAAAAAAAACAAAAAAAAAACTAAGATTTTTTCTTTTGAAAGTTACGCAAAAATTTCTTTTGGATTTTTTTTCTTCAAACAGGGGAGAAAATAGTCTAAATATGGAAAATCATTAAGTAGTAGCAAAATAAGAGGATTCTCTTCTGAAAAACAGAGTATGATATAGTGAGAGGGGGAATAGAAAGGTAGGAGTTTTTCATATATTTCTCCCACATCGACACTTTTATGCCATCGAATTAAGAGTAATTGTCTCTAATACTGGAAATAGACTAATATCGTACTTGACGGCTCTATGAAGACTCTGTCATTCATTTTGTTATTTACTTTGTTTCATAGCATATAACACAATTTTTGAATTTAAAATTTCTTCAATTCTTTTTTAGATAAATAATATTTATTCTTCCTGTTACCTTCAACAAAAATTTGGAAAATTACAAAAATTCAGGACATTTATTGAAATGTTTAATAACTAAGGACATTAAAAAACACTTTCTCTTTTTAGGGATTTTAAGGACAACTTTGAGCCCTGCATTCCTCAAATATTGGTAAACTTTCATGGCGTGTTCAGTGAAAGGGAATTATTACTTCGAACTATACACATCACATTTATAGAGAAATTACTAGAGCTACTCATTTCCATATGGTTTCAATAGTAAACTGCCATTTATTAGCAAAATTTCAAATTTTTTTTTTTCTCTGATAGAAGACTTCATTCTATGATCTAAATTCTCCACTGTATAATCGATTGGTTCCCAAAAAGTACCCCACAGAGACCTAAGGTTCTATGGAAGGGTCACAGAAGCGCTAAGAAATAAAACTTTTTCAAAACCACTTACGACTTTTGAGACCTGCGGTTATATTTATATTTATCAACAATTTCTTATTTATTTAATATTTCAGTCATTTTTAAGAAATCGCTTACAAAAATTGGTGATGAAAAGACAGTATTTTTTTTCAAAACTATTTCTAATAAGAATATATTAAATAAATTATGAAAGAGAATGGCACTTACATTAAAACTTTTTAATTAATATTTCCCATCAAACTTTTCAATTCAAAGAAAAGTAACTAAATTCAACAATAAAGAAATGAGTTTCTTTGATAACCATTCTCAAAATTTATAACAACTAATTCATTCAACAATCTTAATTCATTTTTATCCCAACATTAATTCAGCTTATTTTATTCATTTTGATCTTATGCTAAACAGATTCAGAATTAGACTACACACCACTCAAAGTTTGTGAATTCAAATGTCTAAAATAAAATGTAATTTTAAAACTATTATTTATAAAATGATGAAAAAACGAACACTAATATTTTCAAAATGATTAGAAGATTTTCTTTGAATAGGTTTACAATTGTTAATAAACTTTATTCATTGTTGGGGTCAGCAGCCAGAAAATGTTTCGAATTGCTAATCTAAATAAAAGATATTTGAAGTTTCATTCAGACGCGTTTAGTAGAGCTAATGGAACAAGCTTTTGAGTACCACCAGTTTCATTTTAATCACCCTATGTATGTCAGTAAGTTATTCACATTGTATAAATAACTAAAACCATTAAAAAATCACATTATTAGGTAAGAAAATATGTGGAAAAGGAACTGGAGGTTTTAAACCCGCTCTAAAGAAAGCCAATAATTTAAGAAAATAAATGATAAATTAAGTATAACAACCTCGTAGGCATAGTTTTCAAGATCTTCAAGTTGTTCTTTAAGTTTATCAATTAACTCTTTTTGACGAGTTCTTTGTTGTTCAAGCTTTACTTCCTGATTTTGTTCATGCTGTAAAACAATGTAGCCATTATTACATAAATACTTGTAAATTGAAAACATTTTACTCTAAAAAATTATAACTAGCACTATACTCCGTATTAAGCTTTAAACTTACACATGAATACTCCTTTAAAATTAAGGTTGCAATAAATGTTTACTTTTATACAAATCTAGTTCCAAAAAAGAAATTTGAAAATTTTTATACCTAGATATATTTTTTTAGAAAAATAATTATCAAATTGTTTTTTACACGTTTTTTTTTTTTTTTAAAGAGAAAGCAATTCTTTCTTAAATTTTCCAGTTCTGTTTCAGAGTTTTTTTTTTTAAAAACACCAAGGTTCAGTAAAACACCAATAATACAAAATGTAAATTGTTTTTAATATAAATAAATAAATCATCATCAATGATTCAAATAATTCAATGATGATCAAATGATTCAAATCAATGATCAAATGACTCAATGATTGTCAATGATTCAAATTAAGGAACCAGTGGGAAAAAGAAAATTTACAACATATATTTTTTTTTCAAATTTGATGTATGTTCATAGGAAAACAATAATGTAATTACTTGTAAAAACAATGAAGAAAATAATTAGTCATGCTTTAGAATTTGTGTAGTAACAGGACACCAACTGCTTCACTTTCTATTTAAGTTTTAATAAATTTGTAAAGAATTCAATAGTAAAACTTGTAGAATAAGGATAATTACGCTCACTCTTTAAGAGATTCACTACGAGTTAACCGCAATAAACTTGCATTTCTTGTAGATAAGTATTTTTGATTAGAAGTGGTGGAAGAATTACTTAAAATGAAAGATACTAAACTAAAAATAACTTTAATATATTTAGCGTAAGAAACTTTTTATTACAAAGTAAAAACAGAAGTAACTCTGTGGTAAGAATAAAAAACTATCTTTCTAACGGAAAAAATTAAAAGTTTTTATAAATAAACAAATGAAATTTTTTCACAGGTAAAGCTGTAAATTAATGCATAGGAAGTTATAAATGCCTCTTATTGTACTGCAATCTGCTGATAATAGAGAGAACCTCCATCAGGAATAAGATGAACAAAAAAAATAACCACAAAATTGGAGAATTTCTGCCAATGCATACACGCACAGCGGGCATTTATATTATCTAACTATGAATAATAATAAGTAGCACATTTCAATACAGAGCAGCATAATTTAAGATGTGATGAAATAATGACATAAATTATAAATAGCTGAGTAGGAAAAAATTGTAGCAAGAAGGCATAGGCTATCATTTTGTGGTGTAACTATCACTACAATTATCAAACATCAAACATGCTAACTCGATTCGATCTGGTGGTACCTATAGATAAATGACAGTTGATAATGTCGGCAATCTAGTCCCTACATTGGTGACTTTTGGACAATATCTGAGCATGCCTATTTCAACAGAAAGGCCTTCTTTGATGGTTGGAACACAGTGAACAGCTGACTTGCTATTTGTGACTGCGTCCTCCTTGCAGTGTTGCTACTCAGTCTCATTTACACACAACGAATTCCCGCACAAACTAGACTGCTAATAGCAACACAAGAGAGACTGACCAGACACAATTGAGAACTTAATACATTTCTCAAGACAAACCCTCAAAACTCTGAGAACTTAACAAAGCTCTCCCAATCTTTCGCAAATACGGTAACTAATGGTATCCATTCATCGAATTCCATTCCTGGTAAAATTTTGGTGGGGGAGTATTTTGACGTAACTACCATTACAATTATCAATTCACTAGTATATAAGGCATGCTAACTCGATTCAATCTTGGTATACCTTTTGATAGAAGAAGGTTGGCATCGACTATAACTCTTATCCCCATAACTTTATTTTTCTGTGACACATCCTATTACCAGCTACTATTACCAGCAACCTATTACTTCATTGCATTGCAAAAACTCATGCAGAAATAATTTTGCATTAATTTTAGTTGTAATTAGCATTTTATAGAAGCAATGGCAGAAATAATGGCAGATCAATACTGTACCACTTAAAAGAACAATTTATAAAATAAAATAAAATGAGATACAAAAAGTTATAAAACTTGATGATAAATATACATATAAAAATGCTTACAATGATTTGAGACAAATCTAATCCATTTTCATATTCTCGAATATCTGGAATACCTCGAAATGCAAACTCTTCTAATTCCTTTAATAAGTTCTAAACAGAGAAAAGCTAATTTAAGAATTCAGTAGAATAAATTCATAGCAAGGAAAAATATTTGTTCTACAATGAAAATTAAGAAAAAAAATAATTGAATAATTAAATTCATTTAAATGACATTTTAAAGCTTTGTATCTGCAAAATCGTGATAATTTGTTACAATTGTTTCTCAGTATTAATGAAAACTAGTTTTTGTACATTTTCAATTTATTTTTAGCTCTAATTCAAATGGAAAAAAAAAACAACTTTTCGGTATTTATAAAACATTGATTATCTGAGAAAATATTGTAATGTGTTGTAAATGAGTTATCCAGGTTGGAAATAACTATCATGCTTTTATTATATTATGGTATTTCCACAACACAAACAAAAATAATAGTCAGGCAAAAAAACAAATAATATAAAAATTCCGAGAGATAAAATGTTCAAGGCATTGTTCTCAATTCCAGTTTTAGGATCGAACTCTCTCTCTTTCATCGCAAAAAATGGCGCCTCTCTCCAAGAACTTGGAGTGTGTAACTCTCACAATATTTGAAATTAAACAGTTTTGTAATAAGATAAGACCTTTAACATAAATTAAATCCTAAACACACTATTACTTGTTAAATTTATTACTTGTTAGAATTAAAATACAGCTTATTGTAATAGTAAATAAACTGATTAAAAATTTTTAGAAATAAAACTATAATTAATTATAACCTCCTTTTCTTCTTGTGAAGCATCAACAATCTGTTTAAGTCGGAACTGCACTTGAGCAAAATGTGTTGTAAGGGCAATTAAAGATGAGTTGAGTTGCTCCTGTTCTTCTTCAAGCCTTTGAAGTCTTTCAGCTTCATTAATGCTAACAAAGAAAAGTTAAAATTAAATTTAGAATTAAAAAGAATTTTCTTTTAAAGAAAAAATTGCAGGTGAACATCAATTTTAAAACACTATGTATTCAAATTCTAATATAACTAAATGGCAATAAATTTAAAATTTAATCAGATCATTTTCAAACATTGTTTGGTGCTTTATAGGATAAATTCTAATAAATAAGCAGGTTAATTATTTTAAAGTTCAATTTAGATTTAACAGATTACACCGAATCATTGAATGTTATGTTTTCTGCTCTTTAGTTGTTAGAGAATAATTTAATTTTTACTATTTAAAAAATTAAAGAAAATTGATAATTCAAGATCCAAATGATCTAAGATCAAAATGATTTTGTCCAATAAATTCTTAAAGTTTTTGTAATATATTATAAGATTGATTTACTTACAGTAAAACATGAATTTACGGTTAGAATTTTGGTGCATAAAATTTTTAGCTAGTCATATAGTTTTTCCAGTTCTTGGTTAAAAGGCAGATGATTAGACATAGACCTTTCAAGGACCACACTCGACCTATGAGCCATAAGTTGTACACCTTTTCACCCTAAAACGCCACTTAAAATCATTAATTTTCTTTTTTTAAATCTTCATCTACTCAGCTTTTCAATCAAAGATTTCGATAGAAGTAACCAAATAATATATAATTCATAGAACATCAGAATCAGAAAATACCAATGTTTCTGATTGAAAATCAACATTAACCTACCCATAAATATGAATATTATCTTCTCAACAAAGCTCATCAACTATCATAGAGATATTACAAAATGATTTGAATCAGATATCTACGCACGGCAACAAAAGGTTAGTTAACGCAAAATAATAAAAAATTACTAATAAAAAGGATTGACATTGAGAATATTTAAATTAAAAATATGAATTTAAAGTATGGTTAAGCAAAATTAAAAAATTGGATAATAGATTTAAGAGAAGTAATATTTTGTAAAACTATTTATTAAGAAAGAAATTATAATCAATCAAACTACTCAAATGATATAGTTAAAAATAGAAAGGTAAAAAAAAGACAGTTTTAAAATTAAAGTACTTTTTCCCTAAATATTTTCAGATCCATTAAAAAAAAATCTTGATTAGGTGTAGTATGAAATTATTTCATAATAACTTAATATAGAAAAAAAATGAACTAAATTACTTTTCAAAATCTGAACAAGAAGTGTACATCAAATCATCAGAAGGTTGAGTATCATCATCATTAGACAGATATTCGCAATCAGAACATGTTAGAGCAGGAGTACTATGGCATTCATTCATTTTTCTTTCTAAATAAAGAAATGCAGATCGATAATTTACAAAATGCTAGAAAATATTCAAAGATAATGCTTCCTGTTTCACAATGGTTTAATATCATATAAATATTTTTATAAACAATATTTACTGCATGCAGTACTTTAATCATAAATCATCAATTAAATCAGCAAAGAAAAAACAAATATAAGATTAAATAGAACTCTGGATGGTCAAACAGTTAATAGACTAATTAATGCTACATATGTTAGAAAAATTTCTTCCATTTTGAGTTAAGAATTATTTTTAATATACTAACAACTAGGGCTTCGACATTTAATTTACTAGAAAATTACACAGAAAACATGAAAAATTATTTATTACTGAAGTACAGTTTTAAAAAAAACCCTATTGTAATGTTTACTTTAGCTCTAACTCAGTGGTCAGAAGTAGCATTCTACAAATAACGAAATCATTGCTGTTGCTAATTTTTTATAGTTTGCAACTTTAAAAAAAAAAGAAAAAGAGCAGAGTAAGTAGTGTGATAAAAAAGGTAGTAGATTGTAGCGATTCTAGGCAACTACTTTTATTATAAGCTCAGTAAAGAAGAGGTTAAATTTCAAAGATTATTTTTAATCTTATTGGTACAAATCTTCGTGGGTTCGTCTATGGAGAAAGTCCATGTGGTGGAGCATTAATAAGAACTAAGTATTGGTCAAATCTTCAAATGTGTATGCATCTTTATGAAACATCATTGTTATTTTAATGGAAGACAACATATTTTCTCTGCAATTTTCAATGTACTTTATTCCTTATGAGAAATAAAAGAGTATTAAACACTTCAGTTGCAAATATCTGATAATTTCGTAGAATTCCTTAAATTAAATATTCACCATCAAGAAAGGCATAAAAAGTTGATGGATAAAAGAGCACATTTGTAAAAAATTGTTAGTCATGGTTGTGTAATGGTAATGTTTTAGTTAATAAACTGACATTATATAAACACCAATAATTCTTCATGACAAAATAGCCAATTTTTCATTTTATATAAAACCATTTTCAACATGGGTGCAAACTAAGTTCTCCAGAAAGTTTGTAACCTAAAAGTAGTGAAGTAGCGACTAGATTTTGAAAGTAGTTTATAGTCACGACATTTTAAAAAAGTAATTGCAGGTAACTACAAAAATAATGTAGTTCTTATGACCACTGCTTTAAAACTGACAGGCATAATTAATTATTATTTTTTTTTCAAAAATAAGTAAATTAGAAAAAATAAAATGATTTTTAAGGATAAGCAAATAATAATAGTAAATTTTGTTGATGTTCAGTAATGCCTAAATTAAAATACATTAGAGCTAATTGCAATAATAAAAACTCATACACATAGATATACATATGCAAGTTGTATTTTCAGTGTACTATTAACTTTGAATGAAGTCATAGTTACTGGTGGTATTTCAAAAGTACTATAATAGAGGTGTAAATCTATAATTTTATTCACTTTAGAGGGCCAGGGGTCCATTCCTTACATTCTGAATGTTGATTGATGAAAGAGAAGCCTTGGAAACAAGTTTTTCATGTACTTTTAGATAATAGTAACACATGCAGCTTATTAACATAAGTAATCAATTTATCACACTATTTTCAACACATTTTCTACGATAATTAGAATTAATATTATCTTTGCAGGTAAGTTTTTAAATGATAGCATGCTTGTAATAATACCTATTTAAAGGTAGGTTAAGTTTAGTAATTAATTCCCTAGTACTCCTTAATTATACATATAAGCATAGTTATCTTTATATACATAGATATTTAAATCATATATAGTACTCTCGAGATATCTCAAAGTTGAAGGGACGCTAAAAAATTTTGAGATAGCGAGTTTTTGAGATAAAAGTTCAGAACAGACCTAAATAAGTTCTGAAAGTTGAAAAATATTTTCTAAAATATTGTTCTAAAAAGTAGGGTCATGAAACATAAGAAAAGCTTCTAATAAATATGTACGTGTAGATAGTTGACTATAAGTCTAAAGGCAACAATGATAATTTTATTTTTAAAAGTAAGAAAAAAATAATTATGCATTTATTAGGAAACAATTGGATTACAATAAACTTACGTTGTGATTTTTCCGACAAAAAATACGACATAACAAGGTTTTGAGAAGAAACTCTTCGACATAGGAAATCAAATAAATATTAGGTGGATATATAATGCAAAGGAGAAAATATTTTTCAGACATAAAAAGGTTTTTGAGATATCGTGAGTATACTGTAAATATATATTTTAGCATGTAAAAACTTAATGTTCTTGAATTAAAGGGATGAGGATCACCGTATATCAAAAAATTCTTATACTATAAATTTAAGTAATGTCAATTTTTTTCTTTCCCTGAAATATAGTATTAGTGACCTATGACATTTATAACATCAACATATTGTTTAGTCAATGACATTTTAACCATTGATGACATAAATACAAACATACTATTTCAATTTGGAAACGTTATTTAAACTGCGTTTGTTGTAAATGTGTTTATTTTTCTGTTTTTATATATTTTCCACAAATCTTAAATATTATGGTTATGTGAACTGTTTTAATAACTAAATACTCTACAAACAAATATGTTCGAGTAGTAGTTATTTAAGTAAAGTAAATGAATAGTATGATTTTAAACACTTAAAGAAGTATAATAACGTTTTACTTTAAACGAAACAATATTTTACCGGATGGGAATACTTATTCAGAAATTTTCGATGTTTAATTCAATGCTGTATCTTGCCATGAGCTGATATTTTAGTTGAGGATTTTATTAAAAATAACACGTGTAAGATTTTAATAAAAAAAGTATTAGTAATTTATCATTATCTTAAAATTGACAGGTTGAAACAGTATCCATCTGTAAACAAAAACTACAGGTGTTTCAATACATATGTAGATGTTGCCATATCATTAAAGTAGAATTTTGGTGAAAATTTTTTCCCATTAAAAATATTTTCAAGACTTCCGGCTTGATTACACTAAATGCTGCTGCCATCTAGTGGCACTGTTTCCCAACTTCTGTGCCTTAAAATTTCTACAATAATAATAAGATATCTTCATCGACTGTTTCACACGCATGGATCTAACACGTTCACGATCACACGTTCCAGTTTTATAGGCTATTTTTTTTCTTCAATTTATTCGGAAAGTGGTGTTAACTAATACGCCGATTATTTGATTCTCTGATCAGCCAAATCATTGATATGTTGATTTACTTATGTATTAGTTGTGAATCAACAAATAAGTGAATCACCGTAGTCAATCAACAATTTAATTAACCGGCAAAACCACTTGCAAAGAAAAATAAAAAAACAAAAATGCTTGAAAATTCGAATTGATTTGTTCCTTCTCTGATTAGCTTTCTTTCTTACCTCTTTCTTTTCCATTTTAGTTAATTCCTATATAAAGAATCATGTCCCGCTGTGGACTGATCGTTAAGACACGGTTCCCAGCAGATCACCGAAGTCAAGCATCACTGGCTGCGGTCAGTGTGCGGGTGGGTGACCACTTGGATCAGTCTGCGTAGGAACCGAGGTTGTGCGGTATTGGTCCTCGTTAAACTGTGCTACCGTAAAGTGCTCGACTTCGCGCGCAGGTCGTCGGGCTACCGAAGCGGGGGTGCCATCCCCTCCGCAGAGGATCAAAATTGTGATGGCGTGTCTTCGGATCATCCTCCAAGATGTTTCCCAAACCGTCGCCAATAGCCCATTGTGCAGCTCTAGTGCGACGTAAATTAACAACAACAACGATAAAGAATCATTCTTGGTAATGATTGACGTAGATGCGTTAGTGACTTGCCCCCAATTATTTTCTCAAATTTCAGAATGTTTCGAAAGATACTACTTTTCTAAGCTCCAAAAACCCAACAGATAATTTTTAATTTGAAAGTACAAAGTGTGTTAATACCACTTAAAAAATCAAAGTTTTTCGATAATTGATATATAAATTTAAGGAAATAATTTTATGATTATCGATTTTATGTAAAGGCTAACTTGAAAATCAGTTAAAGATTTTTTTCTTCTTTTCTTAAAGTTGTGATATGAACTCAATGAAACAAAATTTAAGAACAATGGAACAATTTTTCAATGAACAATAATTTAAGTAATATATTTGTTTTAGAGTACAATTGTAGTTAGCGGATATTTCAGTTTCGTTTATCCACAGCATAATTTTTTCAGTTGTCATGGTTATTTATCAACACTTTACACTACTGTCAAAAGTTTTTTAATATAATTTTAATTTAGTAGGAGGCTTTACTCCCTAACCCCCGTGGTTGCCTTTCGATCACCTCTGTTTTTTTAAAAGACGATATTATTATTTTTTATTTTATCATTTTTTATATGATATAATTTTTTTAAAAAAGTAATAATTTATTTATAAAATATGTAATATTAATAGTTTTGTGTAAGAACATTTTGTTACCATGTTAATCACAACAAAATGAACGATTACCTTGATTTCCAAAATTCTCAATTGCACTTGGAAAAAAATAATTAGAAATACAGAACATGTGCCATAATAAGAAGAACTAAATGTAAAGCAATTTTATTTGTTAAATATATATAACGATAACCTATCTGGGTCAGACAAAAATACGGAAACACTTTTATACTAACTGTATGTGAACAATTGTTTTCATCAGCAAATGTTTTAGCAGGTTTTATATAGCAAATTTGTTGGCACAATTCGAAAAATTCCTGTCTCCTATAATTTCTATCTATAAATTTTTGAAAGATAAAAAATAGGCTAAAACTATTTGCTGAACATACAAATTACGCCTCTGAAATAAGTTGTAGTCCAAAAATGCCTTCATGTACCTTATTTTAAAAATTAAGAAATTTTTTTTTTTGAGATGATAATTTTTAAAACAGCATGGCTTTGGAATCTTTTTTACAATTTTATATCTTAGAGTTTGCTATTTAAGTTGACTTAAGTTGAAAATTAATATTAAAAACTTTTTGAAGTTAATTTTTTCAACATTGTCTTTTTTAAAAGGCAACTTTCTTAAAGTTAGTGGGAGAGAATAAGTTTAAACATCAAAATAAAATAGTAATTCCAGAATTTTTCGTCCATTTAAAAAACAACGCCACCTATTGTATTTTTTTGCATTGCATTTGCATTTGCTTTTGAATACACGAATAAATAAGGAACAATAAAAAAAGCAACAAATAAAACAATAATTTTTCGAAAAAATAGTTTGATAAAGTAAATAGTCAGCTGTTTGGCATCGAGTAATTTTAAGACAGCAGAATGCTTTTAATTTCTTAACAAGTTTAATTATTTGCAATTTTAAACTTTCTTTTGCTAAAAACTTGACAATAATTTTAAAAAGATCGTTTAATATAAAGGAGAACTTTATTAAAATGTAGCGTAAAGAATGAGATTTTGAAAAATGTAATAGTTGGTAAAATAGTCCTGTGAAACAAGTGCGACCAGGTAATTAAAAAATTTAAGACGATATATAACATGTTGAGAAATTTTAAGATGCTTAAAAATATTGGCTACGTATTCGGTAATTCTTTTCTCTTAGTAGTGTCATGAAATATCAAAACGCAATTTCACATTGCTGATTCATTTATTCACATTGCTGATTCAATTTTATTCAAGGTGTAACGACGATATATTTTATGAAACTTTTACCTTCATTTAGGTTGTAATTGCTTGATAATTAAAAAATATAAATTTAAGAAAGTGGTAAATATAATATTCCAAATCAATGCATAGGTATGGATATTAATGAAATTGTATCAATTATTCAATTAAATTGCTAAATTAAAGGAAGCATATAACTACATTCCATCAGAAACATGCTTTTATAAAACTCAACATTTGTTAGATATAATCTTTTATTCGAATCTCTTTGTTAAATTACAAATAAATTTTCAGACGTCATAAAAAGAAACATCGTACTTCACAGTTAAAAAAAAAAGTTTAACATTCGACTATCAGAGGAAGGAAATTTTAATAAATTAAATAATAAATGAATAAATTAATAAATGAAATTTTACGCTACGCGTGCGTAAGTCAAATTCATCGTAAGTTAATTATACTTAATATCAATCGCCCCATTAAAACATTTATACATTGTCACCAAATTATTTTTTTAAAAATAATTAATTTTAATTTTTCATGACTTCTACTAAATAAAAACAGTCGAAACTTTAGATTTCGCAATAGAAAAATACGTAGGTTATATGGTAAAAAAAAAAAAAAAATTGTCTCATAATTCGAAACTTTTTCATCCACAATTAAATTAAATTATAAAAGATAATAAATAATTATAAAAAACTATTTTTTGAGGGAAATTATTTTTGGGTAAATGGATTAAATTAGAATAATAATAAAAGACAACAACAATTCTCTTAGCTTTAAACTCTTGAATTAAAAGCTCACAGGAAAATAACTTTAAATGAGGGATGCAAAAATATTCATAGAAAAACAATACCTTTAGGAATTTTATTAATTGTAATAATGAATTTTATTAATTTTCATTAATTATGACTTTTATATGATGACAACCAAAATAACATGGAAATGAATGAGGAAAAACTGGATCCTACCACAAGATTTTCCGACCGATAAAAATGCACGGTCAACAATGGAAAACTGCGACATCATCATTAGAGTTTTTTTTATATAGTAAGATATATAAGCAAATTATGTCCTTAGAAAATCTTATGCACCTCCCCCCCCCCAAAAAAAAGTTCTTTCACGCGGCGCCTATGAACAAGAGATCGATGTCTGTTGGCAACATAAGTTTCAGCTCAGACCTTTACAAAAATGATTTTTTACTATATTATTGCCAAACGTAATTTATCATGACTCCAACTAAGGGCTAAAATTTTAATGGCGTCACAATTTTTAACTATTGACCGTTTTATTTTTTGACCGTTTCAAGTAGCACCTGTTGCCCCATCACCGAACTAGAGTAATCGTTAATAGAAATGATCATTTTTCGCCCAACTCAAGTGACTAAGTTTCAACAGGAGTTCGATGTCTGTTGACAATATAGGTTTTTGGTGGTTTTTTTTTTGACTGTTACAAATAGAATTTATCTCCACATTAAGTTGGTCGTGACACTAAGTCTGTAGATAAATGCGTCGCTGTTGGTCATGCTTCAAGTAAACACTTGCATATGCCACAGACAACATGGTCTACAACACATGACAACAGTCTTCTGGGTTATAGCAAGAACGCTTTTAGAAATAAAACGCTCACTCTGGACGATTCGGCAATCTTTGAGCTGTATTTGGTTAATTGTGAGAATCATTTCACCATGAAATCATATTATTTGTAACAAAAGATGGACTCTCAAATATATGACGAAAAAGTGTCCTCAACTCGAACCTCATTGCAGTGAATTGGGAGAGATTGCTAACTAGAATGGTGAAACTAGAATAAAGATTAGATGAACGAAAGTAAAGTAAAAAAAACTTACCGACCGACTGCGAGGTAGTCAAAGATGTGGCCTTGTATCAGAAAGATCACAGGTTCGAATCCCACTTCGGGCATGTATGTAGTTTATCTCTCCGTTCTATCTGTCCTTGTGTTGTTTGGGCTCGTATCGGTATGTAAGTCATATGACATTTTAGCCTCTTCACGAGGGTCTAATTGGTCGTTATTTACTCTAATTGGTCGTATATAATTTGGCATCAGTTGAATTAATTCAGGGTTCAGTTCAGGCATTTAAAATAAGCATTTGGGTTAAAAGAGAAATGTAAGGTTTGCAGTAAAATCAGAAGAGAATAAAAAATAAACTTTCCTCACCACTTCTTTAAAAAAAAAATTTTTTTTCATTAAAAATTTTACTACAAAAATCACGTTTCTGTATGTTAGGTTTAAACATAAATTTTTAAGAAAAAAAAATGTTTTTGAAAGAAATAATCAAAATTTTGGATAATTTCTTTTTAAACAAAAA